ATTTATTATCTCTGAAGTCACCCGGCCAGGTTCTTATCGACTCAAGCGCGAAGACGGTACTCTTGTCGACAACTCTTGGAACATTGAACATCTTCGTCGTTTCTACGCTTAAGTTTATCATTGTACTTCCCTATCTTGACTGTCAACATCAAGTTTTCTTCTTGCCGTTGTCAGTCGGGGGCTATCATCATAATAATGGAGTGTGATTTTTTATCAATTTAATTTGCTTACTTGGTCTATCATTGCCTTGTTTGATTTTTTCTACTTAGTCTGCGAGGACTGAAAGTTTTTAATAGCTTCTTTGGGTTTTAGGCTCAACAAAGCTTGATAAAAGCTTTTAAGAAATCAAAGACTTGGTTAGAACTATCAAGCACAGCATAAATACACCAGTATTGTACAAATTAAGCCTCCATTTGCTACATCTACACTCAGTCAGAATCAGTCCTTTCATCATCAGAGTTATTATTGCTCGGCTGAAGGTCGTTGTTGCGGAATTGTTCTACAACATCACTTGCAATCTTGTCAGCCGCACTTTGAGCATTACTGATAAGATCAAGAGCAGCTTCTTCGCTTGTCCCGTCTGCAAAGCCATCAATGGCGTCAATTTCAATCCTCGGGTACAAGGATTTGGTCATCGCCAATGCCATACTAGCTCCCATACTTCCAGCTTTCTTGATATTCTTGAAGTATACATCCGGTGCTACTCTCAGCTTGTCAAAGATTTCGGTTGCGTCAAGTGCACTCGGACCACTGTCATTAAGGAACATAGCTTGGACAAGTGGTGTAGCGACATTGGCGACTTCGTCTCTTGCTCCTTCAAGCTTCTTGATCTTACCAACCAGGACATCAAACTGAGCTTGAGATTTGATTTTACGGTCTACAAAACACATTTATAATAAGAATTTGCTGCATTAAAGAGAGGAAAGTTCAAATTGTCAGCTGGCAGTACCTTCAACCTCCTTTAAGGCTGAGTCCCTTTGCACAGCTAGTTCTACTTTGTCTCTTTTCAAGGCTTCAATCTGTTTCTCCATTTGTGCCATCCTGGTAGCTTGTGCTGTTTGAAATCCAAATATTTGAGGATACAGTTATGACAGCATAAATCAATGGAATAGATCTGGAAGGTTACCTTTTGATGAACCACTTAGCTCGAAGTTTGAATCCTGGAGCTGGGCAATTCGGTCCCTTAACTCCTTCTCTGTCTTTTTAGCATACTCCTTGGCCTCATGCAGCTGGTCCCTAACTGCTTCAAGAGTTCCCAAATGAGGAACCAGCTTTTCCAAAGTTGTAGTCTTGGCCTCATTGCGAAGATGGATTCTCTGCATGATGGATCATGATTCAGTTCTGCTAAAGAGAGAACAAAGTTATTAAAGGCAGTCACCCGGAAGATTTACATTCACAATGCAAGTGGCTTCTCCAAGTGCTTTCTTCAGCTGGCACACTTCCTCATCTTCTTTTTGACGATTTATAACGATGCCGGCAACTTGCGAGTTCTCGTCCCACCATTTGAGCAAGATAGGAGGACGGGAGTCATCAGCCGCCTTTATGCGAGGAATTGTTTCTTCGTCATCGCCTAGTGTTCCTGATGTATTTCCAAGACATTGGACGAGTAAGCTGAAGTTATTTAAATCGGCATCACTTGAGAAGATGTGTTACCTGAGGATGTTCCTGGCTGAACATGAGGTGGTCCTTGTTCTTTATTTAGAGACCTAATCATTGAGTCTTTACCGGCCTCTGGTCCTTGGGAAGTTGTCGTTTGCACTTCAACTTCAGGGATTTCTTCATCGGGACCTACATCCGACTGGTTTCCAGTCGGGGGCTCTTGTGTTGTTGCAGTTTCAGCTGTTGCCGACTGGTCTCCAGTTGGCGGCTGGTCACTCGGATCGGCTTTGTCATCCGAAGCATGGGCGCCAGTCGGCTGGCTTTCGGCAGTCGGCTGGCTTTCGGCAGTCGGCTGGTTTTCGGCAGACGGCTTAGCATCTTTGGATAAATTTGGCTCTGTCACAGCCGGATCAGGATCTTTTCCAGTTGGATCTATGTCGGACGGTTTCCTGCAAAGTGTCCTTTCGATATTCAGCATAATTTCTATGAGAGAAGCATATCAAAGGGAGATGGTACCGAGAAGTTTATACCTGGAAGATGTTCTAATCTTTGGCATTTGACAGCCAGCCAGTTTTTTCCTGGGCATGGTATGCTTTGGGAGTTTGTTGGGCGTGCCCTTGTCCCCAGATTTGTTGCTGTCATCGCCCTCGTCGTCATTAAGCACCAGCTTTCTCTTACGAGGACCTGTCTGACCAGCCGGTTTGGAGGTTTGAGGTTGTGGGTCTGACCTGTTTGTCGGCCCTCCACTTCCCTGAATGGTGTGCTGGCGAGGAGATCGGCGCTGAGCAATTGGGGGATCAGATTTCATCAATACGTATTCCTGAATGAGATGCCTCCATGGTTAGTTAACTCAACATGAAGACAAGATACTATTTTGGTCATAAGTTGAAGATTTCAGATACATACCTGCGGAGGCGGATTGAATGCATTATATGGCACAACTGGCAGCTGGTGTGAGTAGCTGACGACAATGGCATTTGAGAAGATTTTATACATTCTCTCCTTCATGATTTTGAAATCCAGAGAGTCTGGTTCTTCGCGATTAGGATCATGCTTGCCGTCAAACTCAAAAGCTGTACGGGATCTTTCTTTAATTGGCGCCAGTCGGCATTTGATGAAGTGCCGAGTGATCTGCTCTCCTTGCAAGCCTCGTTCTTTGAGTTTTAACATGCGATCCAACAATTCCAAGGCTTGGGCAGCTTCATCTCCGATTGGAAGAGAGTTCCAAGTGTCTTGGTACACCGGGGGAAGACAAGAGTATTCGGGAAGAGCAGGCTCAGGATTCTGAACATAAAACCAGTTCGCATGCCATCCTTTGTTTGAAGTCTTGAAGGGCATTGAGAAGTATTTCTGGCTCAGAGTTCCCCTCAGCTGAAATCCGGCCCCTCCGACTACACATGGCTTACTCTTGTTTGGTTGGGGTTTGAGAAAGAAGATTCGGCGGAACAGGGCGAAGTGGGGTTTAATTCCTAAGAAGGCTTCACATACATGGATGAAATTGGCAATGTGGACTATGGAATTTGGGTTTAGGTGATGCAAGCTGATTCCATAGAAGCTTAATATCCCGCGGAAAAATCTCGAGGTCGGAAGAGCGAAGCCGCCATAGAAGAAATGCGAGAAGACTACGATCTCATGTGTATCAGGGGTCGGAAAAGCCTCACCGCACGCTGGCCGCCACCCGATGATCTCCTTGGCTGGGAGAACGCCGTGCGCCACCATCTCCTTCAGGTTCTCTTCCGTTACGTCGGACGGCGCCCATTGGCCTTCGAAGCTTTCCTTCTCTTCCGCCATCGATTTTATCCGAATGCGCTGATTTGATTCGAGGGATGGCTAGGGAGAAATGAGGGATTAAGGCGGTGGATCACGGGAAGGATTTTGATGCACTTTTCGAAGGTGGATTTGAGTGGAGTGGTGAACCCTAGTTCGCCGGCGCAGTTCTACACTGTAGCAAGGAGTGGGGAAAATGGTGAGAGTTCCGGCGGGGAAGACGAAGCGTCGCTTGGATCTCGGGATTTCTTGTTAAGGGTATCGGAGGTGCAAATGGGCCTAGGCCTGAACAGTACTTCAGCCCAATACTTTTAAAAGCGTGGCCCATTGTGTTCCTTAGGGACTTAGGCATATTTTGCTTTGGCAATATTATGCGCACAATAGTGTTGCCCAATGCTGATAAAATCCTTTTTATGCGGTCATATAATTCTTTGGAATTATTGCAATGCAAATTAAAAGGTGCCCGACAGAAAGGTGTTATACTGCTTTTTGTTAGCTTTATTAGGCTACAAAAGCTGTCTGGGTTATTTGGAATGACTTGTTTTTATCATAGTCACTTCCTTGGTATGTTATATACCTATTTTCATTATGGTAAATAGTCATAGCCTAGGCTATTAGACTTATTCATTACCATAATTTTTATAATACTTGGTGGGTAATCTTTAGAGTTTTATATTCGGATGCCTGTCCAGTGTGTTCATTCGTGAACCTTTTAGAGTGTAAACCACTCGGACTCTTTTCATTATGGCTAAAAAGCGGTCGGCTAGCATGCCTATTTAGGCGCCGTGTGTGCTTTTGTCATATGATGCACGATTGTGCTATTATTTGGTCTCTCAACTATATGTTTAGTTCGTTAACTAATCACATAGTTGGGGGCTACACCTAATTAGGTGCATCTATTCGATGCACCATATTTTTATCTTTTCGCCCTTTACAGTCTTTGTCTTCGCTACTCGGCAGGCCTTGGCATGAAAAGTTTGAAGCACTCGGATTATTATCTTTGAGAAGGCTACGATGATTGACTGCAAAGGTCTCGGGGGCTACTGTGGAGATTATGGATATCCCATATCTACACGGCGATGATATTTGGACTGAATATAGGATACCGAATATAGATAGAATATCTTATATGTATCCTGGGTTTGTTTCCTAACTTGTATATCAAGGAAACACCTTAAGACTTAGTCGGTCACGACTGTATTCCGTTAGGGACATAGATTATCTTTTGTAATCCGGACTCCTTCTTATATATAAGGGGGGTCCGGGTGCCTCTAGGGGCAGATGTTGATTTTCTCTAAATCATACAATCAATAATACACTCGGCGGATTCATCCCCGGACAGGAGTAGGGTATTACTTCTTTTATAAGAAGGCCTGAACCTGTATAAATCCTTTGTCTCCAAACCCATACACTTTTCCAGCTTGATAGCCACCCCCTTTTATTATTGCCGAAATCTAGTTTCGACAACACAGGACTAAAAATTTTCCAAGTTTGTTGCCTACGGACTGGACGGAATGCAAGTCTGAACTTTCCATGCATCAGGCACGATTTTCCACGGCCCAGAGTACGTACCAGGCTAGCAGCTGTTCTATAAATCAACCTCGTAGCTAGCAATGGATAACTCATCACTTCAGCTTCTTGCTCATCCAATCCTACACGAGAACCTGTGTCTGATCTAGCGGCGGCCATGGCTAGAGTTGGCATCCTGCTCGCTGCAGCTCTGCTCCTGGGCCTCGTCTCGGCGTCGCAGGCCATCGAAGGGACCGCCACCTTCTACACCGTTTACACCCGTACATCTCCAAACTGCTCCTTAATTCTGAATGATGTGTTTGGTTTGTTGTCGGAAAAAAAGAACTTGCCAATAATACCAAATTTTGATAGGAGAAAAGCTCTCGCCAAATTCTCTGATGAGAGTTTTCGGATTGCAGAGTGCCCAAATTACTAAAATTTGCTAGGGCCATGAACTTATGATGGTAATAATAATGTGTTTGGTTTCTGCTTGTAAAATTTTGATAATGCTAAAATTTAGTAAAGATGAAAATAACATAAACCAAACATGTGGTGGTGTTTGTCTGTTTGAGATAGATTAAGATAAAGATGATATTAGCGCACACAAACGATAAATCTATTAGCGCATGAATAATTGAGTTTCAATTATTACAAACTTAAAAATAGATCTATTTAATAGTTTAGTTTTTGTAAGGAACTTACCGTTTAGCGGTTTGAAAAACGTGTCAATAGAAACCGAGATAAAATTTATACATCTTAAGGAGAAAAGAATGGGGCCATTGGACATTTGGACAGTCTTCTACTATTCCATTTCTGGAACATATTTTCTGTAGTAACTTGTGCTGTTGCGGTGCAGCGTCGGCGTGCTACGGGTTCCAGGACCAGGGGACGATGATCGCGGCGGCGAGCGACGGGCTGTGGGACGGCGGGCGGGCGTGCGGGAGGATGTACACGGTGCGTTGCGTCAGGGGCACCAACGCCGTGCCCAACCCCTGCAACGGCGGCACGGTCACCGTCAAGATCGTCGACCGCTGCCCGTCGCCGGGTTGCACCTCCACCCTCGACCTCTCCAGGGAGGCCTTCGCCGCCATCGGCAACCTCGACGCCGGCAGGATCGTCATCGACTACAACCAGTACGCTTTTATATGCATCTATATTGTATTTTCGTGCTTTCTTATGTGTTTCGCTAGCTGACTCGCTCTCCGTGTCCGTGTGATGGTGGCTTTGCAGGGTCTGAATGGTTCACGCTTCACAGGTTCAGGAATGCGTCGATCTGTATAAATAAGCTCGTCACATTTGCAGCGAGTACAAGTGTCGAGAATAAAGCGTGATGCTGTCTTGTACGTAAAAACCAGAGCATTATATTTGCAGAGTGCGAGCTCATCCCGCACTCTGTATAGTGTATAGTCTAAAGATCTTTTTGTTTTACCCCTAGGGGTTGTATTTTCTCCTTCTATATTCAATGAAAAAGCACTACTGTGCTGTTTTTTCTGTTCAAAAAAAAAAACCAGAGCATTATATATAGGCCTTTATCAATTGAATAAGGTGATGGTCAGATTCACTGGCTGAGCTGAGAACTTTGAGATTACGTGAACAGACCTTGTTGCCTAGTATTTGTATGGTGCAATTAAACAGTATTGAACCAGTTGTGACACTTGACAGGACAAACTGCGTTGCCTATTTGTATGGTAAAATTAAACAGTCCTATTGAACAAGTTGACACGTTTATTTGTATGGTGAAATTAAAGAGTACTACTCCATACTCATAAAAGAAGTCGTTTAGGACAATGTTTAAATCAAACATTGAGAATATAAATCATAAATAACTCTAAAGTTGTTGAGTTTAAAAATGTAAAAATTATATGTATAGATTTATCTTGAAAAATACTTTCATAAAAGTATACATATATCACTTTTTAATAAATATTTTTATAGAAATAAGAAGTCAAAGTTGTGTTTTGATCTAAGACCGTGTCGCTGTTCTAAACAACTTCTTTTACGAGTATGGAGGGAGTATTGAACAACTCGGCACTTGAGATATTTGTATGGTGAAATTTAAACAGTATTGAACAAGTTGACACTTCACAGACGAATGGACGATATAGGAATTCGTCAAGTGTCAACGCATATTCAGGAAACAGCACCGACCAACCAAATCTAGTATCAAAGTTAGACAGCTGCTGTTCCGATATAAAAAATATTGGTAAATCGTTCTACATCAAAACAGGCCTGTCTTTTACATACCAGAGGGCTACCTGCTAGTCTATAGTCACAACCACTCCCGCTTCGTTTTTAATAACACATCTGTACTTCACATTTCATCCCAACAACTAACCTATTTGGGCTGGATACATCGCAAAAGATGGGTCGTTCGACCCTTCTACCAGCTATGAAGTAAAGCTCCAATTCTATCCGATACTTGTACTCTTATACAAGCTGGATCCTAATGCACTCCCAGCATACGGCTGTTTCTTTTGTGAAGTGAACAACAAGTTGGCGGCGGCGATGATCTTTGGACCCATTATGATGGGGGGCTTATTGATGGTCTGATCCTCGCAGGCATGGTAAGGCCAGTGTCACTATTTGCCATAATTTGATGAAAGAAAGAGCGGTTCGGCGTTATGGACATCTTGTTCATGGAGTATTCCAAGTCATCATCACTGTTGAGATCTATCTCAACATGATCATCTAAACTGCCGACATTCATTTCAGGTGCATCGAGGTCCACTAGCTCATCATCAACATCACTGTTATAATTGTTGTATGTCGTCTTGACCATGGACCAGTACTCAAAATTTGGACGCATATATCTGCAGGGCAATCAGACAGAACAGAGCATTAGTATAAATGTATAATATGTAATAATGTGGACAGCTCACAATTATATATTCAACAAGACTCTTTTTTAAAATGCATTTAAGGTTTGCTAGAGAGACTATTTTAACCCACATAAAGCACAAAAAAAAAAGGTAAGCAGCACTGGAGAATTGCTACCAAAAGAGTTTATTGGATATTAGTGATGCACACCTGTCGGATTCTTTTAGCAGATAAGGATCAAATGGGAAGAACATGTCAAGTCTATTCATTCCTCCAAAAGTTTTGGACAAATCAGATTCAAGCGCATCTTCAAATTCTGAATGGACAGATGCATTGAACAACCTGGCAGCCTTGGCCTGCCTCAGGAACTCATCAACTATCGATGGCAAGCAAACCTAAAATATCAAATAGCCATGTGAGTTCTCAAAGGTAACTAATAGTAAACAATTAAGATTTATGGACTTAAAGAACACAGCAGTCAAACACACAAACAGCTACTAATGGGGATATGTACTGAAAATAACAAAAAGAGATGATTATAATGGCCAAAAAGGAAATCTAGAAGGGGCAGACAATTGGTGCTGTACAAACCTTTAAAGGTTCCAGTGGGTGTGTCAAGATATATCCAAATGGCATGTTAAAAAGCTGTGCCTTAAGATTTGGGTAGTCCATAATAGATCTTAAGCGAAAGCACAGGATGTACATGACTGCCTGCAGATGTAAGAAAGATGGCAGCAACACGTTTAGAGAGCATACAGAATCAAAATGAAGACAAGTGACTAACCATACCTCTCCTGCTTAGCTAAATGCAATATGTGTGCGACAAAACTAACCTGACAGCTTGCGTAAAATATTTGATGATTTATAGGCTTGGTTGTTATCCTTATGTTGTTCTGGAGGTCACAATAGTCAACACACCAGTCCACTAACCTGCCAAAAGAAGTACAAAGATATTCAAATACCAAACCATATTACTCAAGACATATATGGATGCAGACACTACAGCGTAACAACCACCTTTTGAGTATACCAACCACCGTATCAGCAGAAATGAACCTTGCCCGAGACAAATAGCTTCCAACATATGAAACTGCAGACATTCTGCACTTAAATAACAAAGTGATTACTGGCTGTTCATTACTGTATAAGTTATTACCAGAATCAAATATACAGTCTACAGCAATCCCCTCGATAAACAGTTACAACCAAAGTTGGCAGGAGCCCAGGCCAATAAATATACACTTTCTGCCAAACTAAGCGAGAATTTTTCGGCAAAAAGGTGTGCCCTATGACAGGTGGATCAAAAAGCTAATTTTGTGCTCCAAAGATCTGGTTGCAACTAAAATTTCAGCCACAAAAATGACCACCTCACCAAACATGCAAAAGGTGAAGCTTGTTCTAAGTAATCACTCAGCACCCAATGCCAGCTATGATCACAAGTTCACAAGACAAAGAAATACAAGGTATGCACGTTAGCTGTATGCATGATATGGGAAAAAAATACCTAGAAATTGAATCCTCTTCCTTTTTAATAAAGATATCAGAGAGGAAGAGAGCGAATTCAAGGCCACAGATTTCAGGATCCAGTGAGCAGGCATAAAACATGATAAACTGCAAATTTACAGCAGAAGAATCAGATAACAAGAACGAAGCAGAGAGCGATGGAATAAATATATAATGCTGAATAGCACATGGTGCACTCACAAAATTATAGTGAATCTAGTTAACACAAAAAAAAGGTTAATCTTAACCTGTGCAAATTTGGATTTGTGCACCCTTAGCACAGATGCTCGAAAGATAGTCTTCAGAATGTCAAACTCCTGTCCAGTTCAAACCAAACTATGAAGAACCAACAGACAACAATACAGGGTAAAATAGTTCATTTATCTGTATATACTTCAGAAAGAAATGGTACTGGTTGTGAGTCTGCAGCCACCACATCTATGTTGCATTTGTAATGAAGTGCGCAAAATATTACAATTAATATTGCACAGCAGACCTATTATATTCTTATTTGTTTGTCTTCTAAAGTTAATTTAATACGGAAAGGTGCCAGTGACCAAATTCCGGAGTATATATGCAATTATCAGTTAATTTCACAATTAGTGTGTTCAAAGTGTAGACACTATTGAATCTTCCTTGTGGAGAAAAAAAAGGAAGGATATATTGGTGCAAAAAATCACATTTATTTATTTTCAACTCAGGCCCAATAGGATTCTTTTCTTTATATAGTAAGGACAACATACTTTAGGTGTCAAATAATTTCATTTTAGCATCAAAATACCAGTTTTAGGAGAATTATCTCATGATTCATGAACTTCATTCAATAATTACAAGACATGAAACACCTCTGGATCCCAGAAACAAAACTCCTTCAGAAATGCATCACAGAAGTTATATCTCATCCTATAAAGTCTAGAGCAGGACAGTAAGCAGGAGTAATAAGTGACTTATAAGTCTGCCAACAATATGTACAGGACCAACGCAACGCCACGTACTGGGCAACAAGTATAAGATATTAGAAAAAACGTACACATAACAGATAGATGCAACTGATACTCGCGTGTTTCTACACTAAACAGTTTTTAGCCATTATTACCTGGTTTAACATCCATAATCATATTATCGAACTTGCTATACTTTAAGAAAGTCTTTAAAACGTAAGTATTGACTATCTGTTTCACCTGGGGTAAGCGACCATGTTCTTTACATGACTTGAGGTGCTCACAAAAAACAACCATTAAACCATCAAGCTTTTCAGCACAAGCATTTCCTCCAAAAAGGGCCTGACCAATAAAGTGAGTCTCTAGTTATTCTCAGTTAAGCAAGAAAGCGACAAATTTGCTGCATGTTTGCTATGGAAACTAAAATAATTACTACTTCTGTCCCAGAATATAAGGATTTTTGGAGTTAGTCACGGGTATTAAGAAAGTAGGTGGAAATAAATGGGGAAGGTTGTGATTGGTTGAGAAGAGGAGGCGATAGGCGGAGAATTTGAATGGTGGAAGGTTGTGATTGGTAGAGAAGAGAATGCAGCGGGAGAAGTTATATTTTGGGACAATTTTTGAATGCTAAAAGTTGTTATATTTTGGAACGGAGTGAGTAGTTAGCAATCCTAAATATGACGCACTAACCTTTGTTCCTTCTTGTCCAAGGCTGTCCTCATCCTCACCCAAATCTTCAAGCTCCATATCAAATATACCTTTGTTATGTTCATCTTGGAGTATATCTTCCCAAGTTATGTTAACCTACATAGCTCATAAATCAACCAATAAGAACCATCTAGTTACAGGACAGACTACCCAGCCTTGATAAAAGAGAGGTAAAATAGGGGCATACATCCAATTCAGTCAGTAGATCCACAACTTTCGCCAGCAATAGTGCTCCAATGAGGTCGCCCATCCTATCATTATCAAGACCCAACATGCACTCAACAAACGAAACCATCTTCTGCATTAGACATTATTAGACGGTAAGAGCAGTTGTTTGATGAAATGATAGCTTAGATTCTAGCATAGACTATCATCACAAAGATATTGGGCAAACGAGCGCCCAATGTCAACTCCCACTAGATATAGAAGCAGAAATTAACAGAAAAATATAATTGCATGATATAATAAGGATGTTGCAGCTTTGGGATTTAATACAGCAAAAAAAAACATGTTGGGTTCAAAAACAGACACTTTTTAACATGTGCGTACTGTTTTTCCAAGTAAAGATCCACAAGTAAGGAAAACCAGAATATATCACATCATAATCACTACAATAAATGGAATGGTTTACAAAGTTCACACTTACAGCTTTGTTGTCAAATAACTTCGGCATACTCCTATCTATTATATCCTTTAACATCCTTGGTGCTAAGGGTACAGTATCAGAGATCATTCTCAAACTCTCATGCAACTGAGAATAGATTTCCTTCTTCCTTGCAAGCCATCTCGGTTGGCCGATGAAAGCAGTAAGTGATCCAGGTGGAGTGAAGTTGTTCACAAGCATCTGCAAACACTCTCTTAAGAACTGATCTGCCACTGCAGCCTGGATGGTAAATCGATTGATCAGAAGCTTATATACAGATCATCCAGGGCAATGTGCATGTGGTTGTAGAAAATAATACCAATCTGGTGATTAATGACAAAAGAGCATCCCTTGTATCGCTGTTCAAGTACCAGATAGACATCGTAAATATCTGAAAAATAGTGCCTTCAGTAAGATCCAGTTGATTCAGCAAAAGACATAAAGTGTGTACTCAGTATCACATTACATTGTTCAAAAGAGCATGATGGTACATGATATCTATCTTGGACACTGCTTCTGATAGTGCTTTCAAAGTTGTCTGGAAAAGCAGGAAATACATGCATTTATCATAAGAGTTGCTTCATAAGCATGCGAAGGATAGGAAAGTGAAACTAATGTTAAGCACTTACCACTAGCAAAGCCTCGTCATCGTAACTCCTTTTCTTTGAAGAGTCTACAATACTTAGCAAGCTATCATACTCTTCTTTGTCCCTTAGATCAACTTGAAAAGGATCCTGAATGAAAGGCAGGACATTAAGAGCATTTTTTAAAGAACCCGTAAAAAGTACTATGTCCTAATAAACCCTTGTTGAATGTGTTCCCTTAGTATGAATTCAAGCTGACAAAGGAGCTACTCAATCAGAACACTAGTAAAGGTTGGGATCAAGGCCTCAAAACCAAAAAGGAATATACACGGTACAAATTATCCAAAAATAATTGATGTGTTTCGGATTGTAACCAAAAGGGCCTGTTAAATGACACTCCAGATAAGTTACTGCAGCAATAAAGCGCATGGAAAATTACTTTCTAAAAATGGTCATGCAGGACCGCAATAAAACCATTTGTGAATTGTGAGCCTGAAAGAACATGTAAAATCCGGAAGCTACTTACAGTAGCAGTTTCCGTAAGAATAAAAAGGATGCACCTTGCTATCTTAACACCCACAATTTGGCATCCAATAAATATCTCCATAGGCAACAGTCACCTTTGTATTTCCCTAACTCCGCATGGTTCATGCATCTGCCGCATTTCATCACATCTTCAAAACACCCTTGGATTTCGAACTTGAAAGCAGTACTAGGTAACTCACTGCACGCCCCCATTTTGTCTGAAGAAATGTATTATCCATAGCATGAGTGGCCGTATTTTTTATTTGGATTGTGAAACAACACAAAGAGGTATGATTTTGGTTTGAGAAAAAAAATGCTATCCTAGAATTAGCATTATAAGTGAATGCATTCGTTGCTCAGACTGCAAACTTACACAAAGAGAGCTCTTAGTATTTAACATATGGGCACACACTGCTAGCTCCGTCGTCTGACTTCAATACATGGCAAATAACATAGAAGATGAAAGCTGCGTGTCACATTACAGTTTTATTTTATTTTTTTTGCTTTGTATATGGCAATATGGTCTGTCGAATTGTCGTCCATAGAAACAACTTGGAAAAGGTGAACTAGTTTTACTATATCAACTTGTCTACCGGCATCCCTCCACAGATTGAACTATCAGGTATCAAAATCAAAGGACAAAATAAAACAAAAAAACGGAGCTTCGGAATGCTAATTTACAAGGGAATGCAATCCAAAGCAGGACTAACCACTTGAGACCGAACACAACTCTAAATTCTACCCATGGAGCTATCAAAAAACTAATGTCTGAGCCATCGTACGACTGATTCGAAAGCTGATCATGGTACCCCCATCCCCCCACATAAAAACTGAGCAGAGGAGCAAGGAGCTCAATCCCATACCATCCGCACGGACTGGAGCACGTGCTCGACGAACCGGAACGCCTGGGAGTCGCTGATGTCCTCCTCCGCCACCTCCATGTCGTCGCGCCGCAGCTCCGCCCCCATCGCCAGCCGACCCGACACCTTACCTCCCTTGGAGAATAATCTCGCGCTTGAAGAAAACCTACCAAACTGAATCGGAATCAGCACCAGGTAGGGCGGTGGCCTCACGAGCCTAGAGGCGGGAAGGGATGGGGGATTCCTCACCGGCTCGTCGGGAGGAGGGAGGCGGCGGCGTGGAGGCGGTGGGCGGCGAGGAGGCGGCCCTAGCTAGGGTTTTTGCGGGAGTGGAGGAAGGAGAGAGGAAGCGGGCGAGCAGGGGAGACGCGGGATTTATCCGACCCGAACCAGACTGACACGTGGCGCCGGGTGCGGGTTCTTCTTCTGCTCACGCACCCGCTTGGCCGCTTGCCAATTTCGCGGCCCAATTTCTGATGGGCCTGCACATCACATCATTGAGGCCCGTGTAGGGCCCATCTGTAGATAGTAGGTCAGTTGGGCCAATTAGTGGGCCTGTACTGTGTAGGGCCATTTTGTTTATAATGTGTTAATGTGCCGGTTTGCAACAAAACGAACTCCATCTCCAAAATTGGCAGTAGAGCATCCTATTTTTATTTCAATAAGACAAGGAGATTATGGTATAAAGCCTATACGAAATTGTAATAACCTCGTTTAGATATGGACTAACAACATGGAGGCAGAAACAGCATGGGCAGAAAAAATGACCGATGCAATCGAATAAAGGGACCACGATGCTTCCATTCCATCATCCAAATATAAGATAGTGACAGTGTTGGTTCCAAAAGAAAAAAGTAACGACAGTGCTCATGCATCAAATGCATAGGATAGGAGTAGCAGCAGTATGCTGTGATGCATTCAAATCACTAATTCAGTGGGACCAAAACGCCTCAATTCTGATCTAATCTGATAATGTTGTACCCAGAAAATGAGTGCTTTAAATATTGGTACATGTATTTTCTGTCCCAGATGTCTCCAAGATTTTCTGGTATTCGATACATCATTGAATTGTCAATTGAGCGAGGAATCTTTAATAGTCCCATCAAGCATTTAGGCCAAAGATTTGTTACACAAAAAGAAAAAAAGTATGGTAGCAATGTATTCTCTAATACGAATCTAAACGTGCCTCTTACTAAGATATCTCACTTGTATTAATTTGATTTATTTTAAGATATCTCACTTGTATTAATTTGATTTATTTTGAAACGGAGTGAGTATAAACTTGAGATAGTTTGTACGAAAGAAATTGTATCATATATACTTAAGGTTCTTTCTGCGCACTGATTATTAGCTTGGCGCTGTTAACAAAAGGGTTAATACACAACCAAATCGATTGGAATGAAGCGGCAATACTTAGTAGAACCGTTGTCGAAACGCTATATTAAAGTGAATTTTCCACCATTCCACTGCCAACAGCAAGAATAGTAACAGAGATCACCAACACAGAAGCACATAAAACGAGCACGAAACCCTTACTTCAGGGAGCGTATATGATATCCAGGATCCAGCTTCCATTTCCTTGATTCAGATTGCACTGTATATTACAACATAGATAATACAGCTACCAATAAAAAAACAGTCTTCTACAGAAGACATACGAGTATGAAGCGCTGCCACATTAGCAAAACATCAGGAAAAAAAATAAACATAATACCCACCAGATTAACCAGACATGGTTCCTATTGTAGTTTGTGCAGATGTAAGATATACATTACAAGATGTGTTTATTTTGCTTCAGTTCTCCTTCCGCTTTGTGGTGCTTCGGGACCGAGATGATCTGTCGGTTCTTGACAACCGCCTACCCTCCTGATCTTGTTTGGAATCTACTAATTCAGCCGAAAGCTCAGCGGTAGTTTCAGGCCATGGGGTGCGCTTGGCGGGAACAACTATGTCCAAAGGTGGCTCAATTACCCACCTGCAGAACACATTTCATTGCAGCTTAGCAAACATAAAAACTCATGAACTTAAGGATAAAAGATAAGGGAAGAAACATTAACAAACAATTAAATAGTCAGCCATTCTTGATGATTCCAGGTGTTATTGTGTTTGGTTAGAAGAACCTAATATTCAATCAATTGTTTTAGTTGATTTAAATGAAATTTGCAGTTTATGGAAACATCCTTTATAACTCTAATTCTCTAAAGCTAAGTTTCTCTCGATGAAGCTCCATATCCATGGCTTTGGAGAACATATTTCTGATACAAGGACACAAACTTTCTTTACCATGTGACCGATGACAGTGGTCAACCATGAAATTGACTCCAACATGAATGCAATGAAAACTTTGTGTCCAAATTTCAAAACAAAATGTTGATAATGATAATTAGTTAATTATTGATGGTTTGGCATCTTTCATGCCACTACCACATGGCAGCATGTCAGTTGAAGGGGTCACAGTTGTTAAATACCTAATCCTACACTGCCTCTATTACGTATCAGAGGAGTGGTGGCTATCCAACAAGTGTTGGGTACACATGAATGCTACTTGCAAAAGCGTTTGTTGCAGCCAAAGTTTATACTTGAGCACTTTGGTTAAATTGGAAATGCAAAATTCTAGTGCTGCTGCTACAGCAGTAAATGTAACACAGTGGCATTAAAATAAACAAAAACAGACGCATTTCTGATTGGAAATACCAAAAAAAAAAAAGGACAACCACTGCAAGTAATTATAGAAGGAAAAAAGAACAAAATAAAGGTCATTTTACAAAAACAGAGTTAAATTTGACATCTTGCAGGATGCCATCTTGGGTCTGCAAAGTTCCCAATCCCAGATCCCAAGTGCAGAATGGAGCTCTTAAACAAGAAGTCAAACAACTAAGAGACTAGACAATGGACTATTTAATTTAATGTGAATTACTAACAAGGAGATTTATGAGTAATTCACACCGTTCGATCTAGCACCAGACTCAACTCAGTGCAACCATATTAGTGGCAGTACCATTACTAGATTCAAACTGAATCAAAGTCTCAGTTGCTGAATAACTAATTATTAGATGGTTGCTCTTATTCGAAAAAAAATATTGGATGGTTGGCTTGTCCAATTCTCCCCAGAAAATACTGAGTTGAGTGCCTAACTAGAAAGTCTGGTCAGCATAACTAACTTATGGAAGGGATTCTCTAGACTCTATGACTTAGATTGTGGCTACACAAGTTGTTTGAAGTACCGAACAAAGGTGCATAGAGCATTTCAATATTTTGCATCAACATAATGGCGAGTTTAAAGTAACCAGTGAAAAATGTAATGAAAAATTCCAAAATAAATCTCACCCCTGAGGAAATTTGCTGTCAGCTCGCGCTTCAACACGGAGCCACCACAAGAGGATCTTCTTCCCACAGTTCCCCAATGGCTCAACGGAGGATGGATCATTCAACAAAATAAGGGGGTTCTCGATTTCCTCGCCGTTCTCACCCACAGCATCCAGATCCTTCACCCAATCAGGTTTTCCCTCCGCCTCTTTCCAAAGAATCCTAGAGTTCAACACAAAACCAGCCCACTCCAAACCCCTTGGTAGAACCGGTGCTGCCTCTCCAACAACAGTGGCAGTTTTCCCGGCAAAAGGCAATGAGTTAAATGTGTGCCACCCGGCTAGGTGCCCAGAAGAGTTGCAGGCAGGGCCTTGAACTGGAAGAGGCATATTCTGCTTGTCCTCTTCACTAAGTCGTGGCTGGTCTGCTGTTCCAGTATGTGCGAGTATACCCACAGACACCGCACCCATCCACTGGACCTTCTGCACCTCATCAAACAGCTCCAAGCTATGAACATTGCTGTCATCCGCAAACACAATCACACCATCCATCTTCCTTTCCCGGATCACCCTACACAAGCAAACCTATCCCTTGTTAGCCACTCTTCTTTCTATATTCTCTACTTCGTGGAATTCAACAAAGAAAATTACTAACTATGAGAAAGCGGAAAGTATTGAAGTAAAGCACACATACCGCAGTGCGTGGAGGCGCATACGATTCTCGGTTGCGTGACGGTCAGCCCAGTCATGAGGCATGCGGTCAGGGAAGGGGATGTGAACGATGGTAAGGTCGGAGCGTGCAAGGAGGGACGCGGTGGCGTTGGTGGTGCCGCCTGCCTCGACCACGATCCAGGTGAGCGGGTAGGGCACGTTGCGGAGGGAGTGGAGGAGGCCGGTGAGGTGGAGCGCCTGGAACGCGCGGGAGTAGGTGGGCGTCACGACCAGGACATGGCGCGGCTCCTTGACGCCATACCACCTCCGCTGCTCCTCCTGCACGCGCTCCATGATCCGGTGCGCCCGCATCACCTCGACGGGGTCAGGGTGCGGCCATGGCCGGATCCGTATCCCATGCCGCCCCACCACCACGTGGCTCTGCGTGTGCCCGGCCGCCCCCGCCGCGTCCAGGGCAGTGTGGTTGGAGAGGTTAGATGGGGGAGGGTTTGGGTTGGCTTGGAAGGAGAGGGTGAAGGTGTTGGTGGTGGTCGTGGTGGTTGTGGTGGTGGTCGTCGTCGTCGTCGTGGCGCGGAGCACGGCGGAGGAGGAGGACGACGAGGTGGAGGAGTAGAGCGCGGTGGTGGAGAAGAGCAGGAAGAAGAGGAGCCTGGAGAAGCGGAACCCGAGGAAGAGCGAGACGAGGCAGCAGAGCGCGTGGAGGAGGAACCAGAACGTGGACGTGGCGGGGGCACGCCCGCCCGCGCCGCCGTCGGAGCCGGCCCCATCGGCGCCGCCCGACCCCGCGCCTCCTCCCGAAGACCGCGCCGCCGAAGCCGCCGCCGCCGACCGCCGCAGCTGGCTCTGCGGCAGCAGCGACTTCATCATCGCTGCCGCCCGCCGGATCTACTCCCCCTCCTCCTCCTCCGCCGCCGCCGCCTCGAATCGATCGCGCTCGGTCGCGTGCGTGGATGGGTGGATACTGCTACTACTAGTTTTTGATGGGGAGGTTGGGGGAGGTAGGTGGGTGAAGTGCGGTGCACGAAACTGCTGGTGCGGAGGCGAGGAGGAGAGGAGGGGGGAGGAGGAGAGGAGAGGTGAGGTTGGGCTATCAATTGGTCAGTGGAAAAGGGGAGCGTTGGGTTGGGATGGGTTGGTGCCGGACGGGGACGGAGGCGTCGTCAAGCCGTCAGCTCGGGCAACGCGTCGCGTCGTGCCGTCGTCGTGCGGGTGAGGTGAGGTCGCGTTGGGTTTGGGTTTGGGGGGGAATTCGGCGGAGTGGACGGGGTCGGCGAGAGAGGCGGTGGGGGTTGGGTTGGACCGGGCCGCGGGTCGTCAGCGAGTCCGCGTCGTTTCTTTTCTTCTTTCATTTTTTTTCTCTCTCTTTTGCGTCTTTTTAGCGGTTTTTTAGTTTCTTTTTGGTTTGTTGTTCACGTTTTTTGGTTTAACAATGATTGGTGCGGTTTACCGGCGTCACCGAGGCTCCGTTTGTTTGTGCCAGCTGCGTTTGACTTCCAAGGGTAGTGTCGGTCCGGGAGTCTAGAGGACACCTTGCTAATGACCTTGTTCCAGTACAAGCCTCAGGTTTAGGTTTTTTTTTTGTGTGTGTGTGTGTTAAGCAGTCTCTGAACTGCATTCCTGAATAAATATTATTGTTTAATTAAGATGATATAGATGAACTACAAGTTCATCTCCAAACTCTTGTTGTAACTCAATTCTCAAAGGAGCCACAGTTTACAGGTGTAACACAGTGATTCATCTGTAAATTCTCCAGTTGGTCTTGGTTAATTGTTTGCAGATAGATTTGGTCGTTTGGTGTACTGTCTGCAATTAATAACAGTAGAAACATTCAATTCAATTTCCAAATAAAACGAAACATTGTGCTAATCAGGAAACGCGATGTCAGAATGGTCCAACGTTGCTCGAGCGTTAATTCCCGGGGCCCATCATCAGGCTGTTCCCCACAACGAATATATACTCAATTCTTAAAAAACAAAAGACGATGTGCGTCATATTCTTTCATACAGCGCTTCCCGTTTTACATTGCCTTCCAACAGTTCACATCTTCGTTGAAAAGAATTGAGCAATGGCTCTCAGATTCTTATGCATGCAGTTATACAACAAGGTAAAGTATGCCACAATAAACGCCCTACAAGAGTTACAAGACCTAAACCTCAGCAATCCCAGATTTCTGACAGTTGCAAAACTATGGAATGCAGCGCATCCCTATTCCCTCCGAATATGACTAGTCTCTCATCATGATAAAAAGTTGAAAACCATGGTCATAATTTAAAGGTGTTCATTCACTCGTATGGGTTCCTGAAGTTCTTGAGGAGTTCTGGAATGTCGTATCCAAGCATATCATCCACCGCCTGCACCATCTTGGGCTTGATTTTCTCAAACTTGTCAATGCTATACCCACCCAGGACATCTCTGAAATGCTCCACATAAGGGAAATCTCCAGCTGGAAGATGTTGTTCCCTTTGGACCTGTTCCACCAGACCACGGATAGTAATCAAGCATGGAATTACATAACTGAAATGAACCATGCAGGTGAACTGCATGAATACTTCATAATGCGATACGTCGACAAACCAGAATTAGCTATTACTACAACTACTAATTAACTGGTTAGGCAAGTATTACAGCACGAGGACAAGATAGGCAGAGAATCTACCACGTGTTCTAAACGAACAAAGGGTGGATACTCACTACAAATCTACCATTTGTAAAGTCTACAAGACTACAACGGCCCCAAAATGACTACTTCCTCCGTTTCAGATTATAGGATTTTCTAGCATTGCCCACATTCATATAGATGTTAATGAATCTAGGCACACATATATATCTAGATTCATTAATATATATCTAAATGTGGGTAATGCTAGAAAGTCTTATAACCTGAAACGGATGTAGTAGAAATTACAGGCTTACAGAGCTAAGATACCTTTGCGAACTCATTCTCCAAATTGTCTATAAGTCGCTGCTGAGCTTTGGCTTTGCCCATCATCGCAGGCATCTCCTTCTTCAAATGACCAATTATATGGGCATGAATCTTGGCTGCTCTTGCACGTTTAACAAATTCATTGATCTGCAAATATGGAATGAGATTAATTTGTGAAATCCAGGACTCAAATAAGCCAAACAATAGAAGGTACTGTAACAACTTACTCGACGGTCACAAGCTTTCTTCGGTATATCTTTCAGATCAGAAAGTAGATCATCTTGCTCTCTCTCAAATAGTTCCTTTCCAATTGGACCAACAGCTGATTCATTTACTGGTTTGTCATTAAATGATCTGTGAGTAAAACAGGAAACTAGTTTAGTGCTTTAATATGCCGAGGCGGCCTCAAAGATCAGTACAAGCACCAGATCCAAATTACGCAATTATTTGAGAACCCACTAATACTGCTGTGAATTTCTGTGCTAACCTAAGGTAAATGAAATTTATCTACAGTATTTCTAGCAATGTTCAACCTATGGTTTTATGGTATTGTAAGTTGTAGTTTGTAAAGTACTCTGTGCAAAAATAATGTAGGAGCGAAGCAGTGAGGACAGGGGCATGAGAAATTACCCAATATAAACACGTGCAACCTCAGGGGTATTCAATACTTTCCCAAGAGACCACATCAATGCACCATAGACTCTCATAAGCTGCACGCCAATAAGGAAAACAGATTTATGTCAAAACAAAGCAATATGCAAAAACAAGCGTCGTGAGAAGAGATGGCTATGAAATACTCTACCTGCTGAGTGTCAACTTGGTCTGCCTTGTTTAGCACTACACGTATTTTGTCATCATGTCCGCGTAAAGATCCAATGACACGTTTGAACTCATCACTGATATCAAGCTTATGTGGATCAAACAGAAGAAGAATAAGATCACACTTGGCCGCAAACCATGATGTGACACCAGTGAAATCATAGCTACGTTGCGTCCGTTGCTTCTCGCCTGAGAGAACACCAGGTGTGTCGACAAAGGTGATATGCTCTAGTAGCTTCAACATCCAAATTAGGAATTAGTCTCTAGATTACCACATGCCCTCTACATGCATCAAAATTAAATCTTACTGGATGTGGCATCTGAGAGCATTCGAACTTGGATAAAAAAGCAGTTCCAAATGTTGTAAGACCACTGAAAGGCATGTCTGCTTGCACAGCTATGGTATTCCCAGGAATAGTCCTTTCATCTGGTCCTGACTAGTATAGGGAGAAGAAAGTTAACTGGAGTAAGTAGTAATAGAGAAGTACAGATAGAATATACCCATCAACACACCAGCTAGGCAAGTGGAAATTCAAATTGTTTACATTGCACTCGCTCACATCAATCCATTGTAGTAAAAGCTAAAAATGAATTTGTTCAAAAGCTAAGAAAAAATTATGCTAAATAGTGATGGGTGTGTTATGCTTCTTCTATACTAGCCAACAAACCCTAAAAGTAGTAACCACAACAGAAACTGAACAAATGGTCAGCTAACCAATTCAGAGGAAATTTTGATAAGATGGTGCCTGAACAGTGTCACCATGCTAGCATTCAATAGAGTAGATAGCCGACATTTTTTAGAAGCTATCATTAACAAAGGGTCAATGAATGGCAAAATCCATACATCCGACATAAAAATACCATTATTGAAGTAAAAGAAGGCAAAGACTGAGCTACTTGTTCTAACTCTTATTAGCCATGGAAACTAAAAAGAAAAAGGAAAGTAAAAGACTGACAAATATTCTACCACTTTGGACTGGCTCAAAGCCTCAAACGTAAAGCATGTGAAACCAATTATCAGCATTGAAATATAGAAATTGAAATAGTGTTTTATTCATTTTAAAAATGCAAGATAGCTCTTCCAATAGTTGTTTGTAGCAAACTTCCTTAACAAATCATTTGCAAGAATTGCGCAGACTAGAGTTTACCATGACAACAACAAATCTGTCAGTTGTTGGCTCTGGTCCAATATGGGCACCTGCAAGTGCATATCAACTGTCAAGCACATGCTACCTAAATTAATCTGGAAAACTACAGAAAAATAAATATAGAAAATACTAAATAAAAACCTGGATAGCTTGTTCTGAGCAGATGTTTTATAAAAGTTGTTTTCCCTGTAGAATATTGACCTAAAAGCATAACCATTGGCTTTGCATCAAAATCACTATTTGTCTGCAAAAGGGAAGAAATAGATATTGTTATTCATGCAAGTAATTTACTTTAAACCATACCATAAGCAGGGAAAACAACAAGGAACAGAGAAACAAAAGAAATTAGATGTTTATAGCTAATAAGAAACCAGATAATGAGAATATATAAGTATGTACCAGTAATGGAGATACAAAATCATTGAATTTGTATGTAACTTCCAAAGGCTTTAATTTTTCGATGTATAGTTTTTTTAACCCATCAATGACAGAAGTAACAGCATTCAGGGGTATCTGCACATATAGAACACCACAAACAAAGTCAGCATAAGTGATATGTGTCTCATTAAAGAAAGGAACTTCTTTATCAGTTTATCATCTGGCATCAATGGTTTGTATAGGGCAAAGGCCTTAATAATTGCCTCTTTGTGAACATTATTAAAGACAAAGTTTTAGAGGACGCAGTCCTGTGAAAAAAAAACATAAGGGGTAAATCTTTAAACAACACGACTTCATCTTAAGACATTGAATCAAGGTTTCTGTACTGTTGCTTCGTAGTTCAATAAATTGCATGTCAAAGCTTAACTTGATGTCTTCACCGCTCAAATAACTCAGCAGCAAACTCCTTACTTGCCTTACTTTCCTTTTTAAAATTGCAACATGTTATCAAAATATGAATGTAATGCAAATTGAACTCACCAAAATTTTGCAAGAGCTTCAAGGTTCATGTAGGTATCTATTGTTCAGAACACAAAAGGAAAGAAAAATAAATAACACGAACATTACCTTCTTTGAGGACTTTGAGCTGAACCATTGGCTCGTTGCAGGAGATTGAGCCTGAGGAAATCCTGCATGATTGCACAAATATAAATTGTTTGTCCTATGACATAGCTAATTTTCCCAGCATGATTTCCTATTGAAGGGTGCATTCCTTACCATCGATATCTGGATCAACTCTCTTAGCATGATGCTTTGATTTCTGTAAAGCAATTAATCATCACACTA